GTAGATTTTGTATCCCTTTGTTAGAAATGAATGAAATATTTTGGCAATTGTTAATGTTGTTTTATTTGAGTTTGTTGTTGTGTGAGTTGAATGATTTTTTTTGGCAATTGTTATTGTTGTTTCGTTTGACTTTGTTGCTGTGTGAGATGATAGTGCAGTTAAAACACACCTCAAATTGTAACTGATAAAACACTGAAACACAGTCAAATAGTGGCTGATATACATCTCAAATGCTGAAATTTTCCAGAAATAACAGCATACAAAAATGACAGCAAAAATGCTTAACAACATACCAAAATAACAGCATTCATACAACACTAAGGACACATCTGCCCAGAAATTATCAAACAATACTAAAAATATATTTCATCATAGAGTAAAGGTATTCATTACAGTCACCTAATAGCAGCAGCCTGCCTTAACAAAAATATACGCTGCCCAGTTTTACAGCATACCAAAATAACAGCAGGCTGCCTTAACAAAATAACAACACTAACAGCAAACCTAAATAGCAGTTCTGAATTAACCTAACAGCAATTCCAAAATAAATTACAGCTCCAAAGGGAAATTACAGCAGTTCCAAAATAAATTAATAGTGACAATAACAGAATTCAGTGGCTATTCTGGGATGGCTGGGATGATGAACTTGCTTGACTTAAATTGGATTGAGATGAGGTAGTTCTGGAACGAGTTGCAGTAGTTCTTTCAAGTTGTCTTCTAGTAATGACTGGTCTACCATTCCATTTTACACCACTTCTTGGCTTGTATGCACACTCCAAAATATCTGCCGAGGACCTCTTTTCACCACCATGAGAGACCACTCTTGGCTTACCTCCACCAGACTGCCAAAAACAAAAAATATTCAGTAAAGTTGTTAAAGCAAACAAGATATAAAATTAACTTTGAACTACTTACAGAAAAACTTGTGAACCCACTGCTTGATTGAAATAGTCCAAACCCAGAACTTCCCCTACCACTACCAGTTCTTCTTCCTCTACTAGCAGCAGTTCCCCTTCCTCTACCAGCAGCAGCAGGGGCAGAAGTAGTTGGAGTTCCTGTTCCTCTTGCTCTGCCTTTTCCTCTTCCTCTTCCTCCACACTCTCATCACTATCATTATTGTCAAAGTCTGAATCATTCTCATTGTCATCCTCACCTTCACTATTATCAAAGTCTGATTCACTATCTACTCCACTCTCTTTTTCTCTTGAAGGTACAGGGGGCAGGAGCAAGTTCAGTAGAAGGGGAAGGGGTAGGTTCATGAGCAGGAGCAGATTCAGATTCAGATTCACTATCTTCCTCTTCTTCTAAGACAGTTGTGCTCTTAAAAGCTCCACTATTAGACCCACCAACCCCTTTACTAGCCTCATTTATGTCAACAGCACATAAAGGGGCAGCATGAGTTACATAAATATCTAAGGTATCCCCATCTTCCAATTCATTATAAATGTCTAAAATATCCTTGTCTGTGAGAATATTTACCAATTTATCTGTCCTATCCATTGGACAAATATACAACTCAGCCACATTTTGAAAGTCATAGATCCTAGTGTAGTTCATCAGTTCAATAAGAGACAGTAAATCCACATCTACATCTAAAGTCAATGTTTGACTACCACCCACATAACGAGCAAAGTTACCAGGAACTAATACCCCATCATGGTACCACCTGAGGGTAATGATTTTAAAAGACATTATCTGCAAACAAAGAAGGGACAAATAAATGGACTTTCCACATGCAACAATTGAAAATAAAGAACTACAAATAAAATATAAAAGTGGAGACAAAGACAAGAGCATATCACATTGTTCAAAGCAATGTTATTACAATAATCAGTTAAACCCTAGCTTTACACACGGTTTGCAAACACAAGACAAATCTTTTTTATAAAAAAAACTATCTGTAAAGGCAACAAGACGACAACTTCACAGTCATATCGACAATGACAAAAGATTTCCCTTTTAAAAAGTCCGATAACCCTAAGCAAAATAGAAGAAATTTCAAAAAAAAAACCTAGGTTCAACCCCACCCACTACTAAAATAAACGGGTAATGCAAGGAGAAGAA